CACGTTGTTGTGCAGGGGAATAGCGTTCAGTCACCTGCCGATTAGAAAAGCGATTGTCTGCAATGCCTAGTCACAAGCGAAGGACTGTTTATGAGTTACCCTGTTCTGAGCAGTCTTAGAAAACGGAAAATTGAGTCACAACTTACTGGGATTGCAGACGATAGGCAGTAGATCTGCACGGCCAAACTCTTTGCCAAGTCCAGATGAGGGTCGTCGCCTGCGACCATTCGTAAACAGGTAAGCTTTTAGCGCGTGCATGCTACCGTTCCGTTTTCCAATTTGGAGTGCCGTCAGAATGCGTCGGAAGCGCTGGATCCATAAGTCGTCTGCGGGTGACAGACGCATGGGTAGGAAGACGATAAACTGAATTTAGGTGGGACTAATCAGTTCAAAAAGACATCACAACACCGAGTTTGACATGTGAAATTTTAGCGAAAACGTTGGACAACTAGATCCGCTAGTGCTCTACCATCCTTCTTGTAGCAAAATTAGAATACTACCTTGTGAGCGTTCCTATGTTCCTGACGAAGGAACCGACTTAGATGAAGACAATTCTAGGAGTTGAATTACTTGTGGAGTCGAATGAATCTTGACACCAAACGGAAATCGATATGCTTTATGAACTATCCACTTTAGCTTATTGCGTTTCGATGGTTCGGACTATTTTCACTTCAATCTCAGGCTTCACTTTCACATCTTAACTAATTTGGATGGATTAAAGTGGTTTTTTGGATCAGCCCATGCGATGGATTTGTCATATTTACTTCATCATCACCCTTATCATAATCTTCGTCATCGACATGATACCAGTTTTCAAGACCGAGGCTTCGCTGCCGTAGATGTACTCAGACTGAACGGAACAGCCACTCTTATCCATGTTCGCCATGTGTACAGGTCACATTTGTATCTTTCTGAGTTGAAGTTGGTAAACTAGCCGAGACGATAAAATTCTGCTGTATCCACATGATAAGCCTGAAGAAAGGCGAGACTCATACCGCACTGGATTTGCTGAGGGCTGAGCATACCTTATTCCTCGAGGGACTCGAGTACTATTCAGCGGAGTCCTCATCTTGACTGTTCAGATGGAGAAACGAGAGATCCACGTGTTAGGATCTGCTGAGCAGCTTCACAAGATCTGCATTCACCTCAAGCCCGTTTGCGAAGTCCTGGTTTTATCTCGGATCGATTCTTCTTCTATGTCTACACCAAGGCGTGGAAGTACTGAACCCGGCTCCGCTTTTATAGGAGCCCATTGATAGTGCGGGATGTGGAGCTTGGACAACTCAAACGCGAAACGGTCGTGTGTTACCAGTGAAAGAGAGAAAGCCGTTCGCTAGGTTGTCACTTATTAGCAAACACGAACTAAGTCGTTACAAGTAACTAGACAGGAAAGTAAACATCTCATATGCACATCGTCTTTAAAAACTGAGCATTCTCACTGATCCTCTTGGACTTTCATGGATACTCATTGACTGTTGCACATTGATAAACAAACATTGCAAAGCGCTTCCACAACTTCCCCAATTAACTCCACCTTCTATCAGATGCGGGGCAAGGCTTGGCCAGTAACCGTAGTCTACTCGCATGCTTTATCAGCAGTATAGACCGTTACTCCAGTAGTCCAGAGCATGTACTAGACGCATCTTAATCACCTTGCTTGAGTGATGCAGTCGTTATGTCTGACAAGAAAAACCTAGGTTTTCTGTGTGCTTTCTATGCTTACCCAAGCTCCGACGGGTAAAACCAGGCTCATAGTAATTTATCTTTTTTTGGCGTCCGATATCATCCGCTTCATTTCAACCTGCCGGCTAGCGACCTACTAATCCAACAGGATGTTTCACTTCAGCTCCCCTCTCTCTGGGAGCTGTGTGACCAACGAAAACCTTGGTCAAACACCATTCGTGAGTCATGGGGACCAAAATAACATTGGGAAAAAAGCAGATGCGTATTAATCTTCATTCAAACTAACCAGAATCTACCCCAGTTACATCTTCTCCAATGTTACACATTTCTTCCACATCTGGTTCTACTGCGAAGGCACGAAGCGCAAGCAAAGGATCCTTTTGTTTCTGAGCTGTGTGGGAAGGAAACAACTGTTTGGTTACTCAGTTGGGTTTACTGTCCACGTGACGAGCAAAACATTAATACAACGAATTACAGCTGAAGACTGTAAGATGGTTCGTTTGGAGAATTGTGAAGCCCAGCCGTTGATTTCTGGTTTTGATTCTGATTTTCATGAAAAATGTAATTGATTTGGATGGATTTTTTCTAACAAGGTGTTTGCCGTTCCATGTATGCGGTGGAAAATTGCACCAAAAAAACAAAACCAGTGTCAACAGAGAACCGATTTGGTCGTAACAGTTTCGTATCCAAAGGCAATTCAGTTTCGAGAGTCACAGCTTGCGATCGAAGAAGCCAGTCGAAATGTACGAATGGTATCACCATGTTTTACGACAAAAAATATATATTGCTCCACTGGTCTTTCAAAAATGTAATGAATCAATCTTTCAAAAATGTAATGAATGCAGCAACTTGAAACCAACAGTTGATGGGTACGAATTGAAACCAAAATCGGAAATTACAGAAATATGAATTGAATCAGTCAATGTCAAACTAAAAACCCATGAACAGTAAATGACACCTCGACGCTTTAAACTGACTAGCAGCGCAAGTGGGCATATAACCCTCTGTTGAAATCCGTCCGTCTATATTAAAGAAGCCATTCGCCCTTTCTCTCCTTCTCTCTGTGTGTCATATATTGGCCAGGCTATCCAGTTGGCATAAAATTCTGTGGAATAATGTAAGTCTATTTTTAGAAGTTATTCATCAATGGAATTATTATGGCCACATGGAAATCACAACACTTGGCAGTCAGACTAAGAAACTGTACTCGTTCTCCACATGTGAGCATTCCCAATGAATCAATAACGGCTGTTGATATGATTTACTTATAAGATCTGGAGAACTCTTCAGCCTCCTCAACCTTGTAAGTGACGTCGTGAGCGCAGGATAAGGTCTGAGAGAACTGATAACCTCCTCTAGTTAGCCACAGACCAATCGAGTTGCACACATCCACCTCACTTTACTCCCACAAAGTCCGAATTCAGTCATTGCATGCTTGAACTTATCTTGATGTCCACGTGGAAGGATATAGATAAACTGTGTGCTCACATTTACACAAGGGAATAAGACCAATTTCCACGAATGCTGTGTACATCAAAACATGGTGATCAGCTGGGTGTTGTTTCTGATAGTTTACCGCAAGTCCACGCGGTTCAAGGAGATACGTGTTCCAGACAGAAAACAAAACGACTGTCGGTCTACTTGGTGAACATATGATTGCAATGGAAGGTAAACAGATACGGACCCCGGTTTTTCTGCCTCATATATGAAGACTAGCTAGAATTCTGAAATATTTCGTTTTAATTGTGAGTCCATTCATTATTCAACTAATATCACATGACTATCGATCATATAAATTTAATAAGAACCGCCGTTCGTGGCA